GAATTAAAGGCCAGAGAGTAGAAATGAGGCTGGAGCAAAGACTCAAATGTAGAAACAGATTCTGCAGTTCTAGTGTGAAATCGTAAGACGTTTCAGAGACACGTTTCAGAAAAATGTTAGTCACCTTTATTTTTAAGTCTAGTTTATGGAAGTCACATCTGATTGGAAGACCTCTGACAGGAGTGTGAACATAAAAAAAGATCTGACAAATAAAGCGTTGTAGGCTCATTTAGAGTCTTAAAAGTGATGACAGGAAGCCAATGTATTCGTTTTTGCGCATTTATAGATAGAACTTCATACTAATGTTATATTTCTTCATCAAGAAGCCTTTTCCTGTAGAAACTGCGGTGTATGAAAAGCAAATTGACCCACGTGAATGTGGCTAGAGCAAATTAACAGAAAATACAACTCTAAATCAATAAAACCTCAGTGCTGAGGAGAGGGTGTAAGCTGCAAAGCCAACATAAACTCCACTTGAAACACACAAAAGCATGCACAAACACACTGAAATTCAGGAGAGCTGAATTGGAAAACGGTAACTTTCTTACACTGTAAACATTTGTGATTACACAACTGCACACACTGCACTGTTGATAAGTCAGTCATTTATTTAGAAATGGAAAAACCTTTAATCGTTAGATGACTCATACCTACTAAATTTCCACATCTTTTGTTTCTCCTTCCTTTTCTTTAACATTACAGTGAAGAAGTATCAAAGTGTGCCAACATTTCTTGCTTGTACAGCACATCCTTTAACATTTCATATATACAGACATTGGGTTCTAAAAAAAAATAGAGAAGTGTTGACATTTTTTAAAATAAAACGAATATATCCAGTTCCATGCCAGAGCTGAATGTCTGTGCCACAGCGACTGTAAATCACGAGTCATGCAGTTGAGCAATCTTCAGCAGTTTTTCAGGATGTGGCTAAACTCCCCCGTCTGAATGTCTAAAACCAGTGACACTTTTAATAATACTGCCCTTGCTTTGCTGCAGCTAAAATGTAGAGTAAATGCATGTTTTCAGAAAAACAAAAAGAACAATTTAACCACCTTTCGAATTAGATATCTGCTTTCCCGATCTAATTTCCTGTAACTTCAAGTTGTCATAAAAAAGGCGTGTTAGTGTCACGGTACTGCCTTGGAAACAAGAAGAAGGGCTGTCAGTTTTTTTTTCTTTTTTATATCTGCATTTGCATTATATTCCTGTTAATGGATACATATACAAGGAAAAGACAACAAGAAAGACACGAATCCTCCTTCTTGGGCACGCACTGTTAAAACGCTATCTTGACGTTGATAATGATTAACACAAGCAAGTGGAATAAATGCCCACTCGACTCGATCCATGTGACAAACGTGTGGTGGTGACATTGTAAAATAGAGGTGATCTTCATGTGAATCTTTTTCATTCGTTCTGTGGTGAACTTGTACAACTATTAAAAACATTATTTACACACACAGATACAGTGCCAGTCTTTCACATAGACTTCACCTAGTACTCCTCCGATACTGCGTCAGACAAAATGTTCCTGCTGGGGCTCGCGGGGTTGTGAGTGTCACTGTGTGCACACAGTACAGGTGGGGTGGGTGTGGTTGTTGAGGCCTGCTGGGAATGCTGCAACTTCTTCCTGTTGATCTTCCTCTCCTTGGCACGTCTGTTCTGAAACCAGATCTTCACCTGAGACACAAATGCATGAGATATCAGCATCAAGAACATTTCTCAGTTAGGGAGCATTATGGCTTGTTCCCTAAACGACATCAAAAGAAACAGCACATCATTATCGTTTTCATTTCTTCTATAAATCGCTTATTTGCAGCATTAAAAGGAAGTTGAAAACTGCAGCGACTTTGCTTTCTGTGGCAACTTTCCCTTGCCTTGCTTCATCTACTTGAAATTTAGTAATCTCTGACTTTCCCAGAATTACTCTGAGAGCTACAACAATTGCACTCAGCTGTGGTTTTAAGAAGCTGCAAGGGCAGGCAGAAGAAACAACAAGAACAGCATAATGACAGTAAGATTGAGGGTTTAACCATTAACACTGCTTATGCGTTTGGTTTGCAGAATTTGTTTTTTTCTCTGGAGCTCGTTTCTCCAGAGGGGATTGTTTGAGAACATTGTGCTCACATGTGCTGCATTAGTAGAAACCCTACACTTAACCATGGGAATAAGTAAACTACAGCACAGTGGTAATAGATGGCCTACAGATGCAGTTTTTTTTTCTAATGCACAATAACATCAACAAAATAAATCCAAGCTCCACCTTCCCTGTTATCTCACTGCACATAAGAAAAAAAAGAAACCCACAAATGAGATAATAACCCCATAACACAAAGTTAATGCCATATTTGAGATCTGTACATTATCAGTGGTACACTGTTTACAATCAGATATCTGCAGTGCATGCAGATATATGCGGTGAGCATGAAATTCCACAAAAATGCAAAGATTATACCCCATGTGTGTTTATACACATAGGGTATAATAAGTATTGAACACATCACCAATTTTTAAAGCAAAAAATATTTCACATGGTATGAAATTCTCACCAGATGTCAGTAACAACCGATCCAGTCCGCACATGCAAAGACAAATTAAACTGCGGATGTCCATAAACTATGTGTAATAATAAGAAGTGACACAGGGAAAAAGTATTGAACACATTTACTGACATTTATTTAATACTTCGCGCAAAAGCTTTTGTTGGTGATGACAGTTTCAAGATGCCTCCTGTGTGGAGAAACTAGTCGCACACAAACAGAAATTCAAATCCTGAAGGCTCTGTGGGCCTCTTCTATGAACTCTGAGTTTTAGTTCTTTCTATATATTTTCACCTGGATTCGGGTCATGTGATTGGCTGGGCTATTTTTAGCAGCTTTATTTTCTGTTTCTGAAACCAGTCAAGAGTTTCCTTGGCTTTGTGTTTGAGATCATTGTCTTTCTGAAACGTCCACCCCTCGTTTCATCATCATCATCATCATCCTGGTAGATAGCAGAAGATTTCTATCACAAAAGTCTTGGTACATTTTTCTATTCATCCTTCCCACCTCTTAACTTCACAGTTGGTGTTTTGGGGTGATGTGCATTGCCCTATTGACCTCCTAACATGGCGTGTATTTTGCCATCCAAAGAGTTCATTTCAGTCTTATCTGACCAGACTATATTCCCCCAGTATTTCACAGGCTTGTCTAAATATTGTTCAGCAAACTTTAAACATACTTCAGCATTTTTTGGCAGTTAAGTGGATTTCTTTGAGATAATGATAGAGATAAAGGTTAAACTCCAGTAACTAAAACAAATTAATTATTTTGTGGTTCTGGCTTTACAAAGTTAAAAAAAATTAGGGCATATT